AGGAGATCGGGCTGAAACTATAGCTACAAGCTATCCAAGGATGGTACTATAGAATGTCACCTCAAGGTAGGCCTAGTGGCGTCATCTCTTGGTTAGGCCGGAAACTTATCAATCCACCCTCGTATGTTACGCGATTTCTTTACCAGTTGTGAATCGATATTAATGATTAATTTTTCATTGGATAGTTTATATCTCAAGGGTGGTCTCATTTAAATTTAAAGAAGACATTCTACTTCCAAAGGTTGAAAATCAAAGAATGTTAAAAAATACAAAAGTAGGAATAACTTCATGCTAATTAAAATTTATTAATTTTCTATTACGTAATTTAAATTTTATACTGTACATCACGACACTGTATTGTGTTCTTAACTATTTTATGAAAATTTGACAATGTCGTTCTTGTACCGAACTCTGACTGATGTACTTGTAATAAGTAAAATATTTACACTTTATACTTGTCCTTAAACTAAAGTGGAAACCGGTATAAAAATATTGATTCTGGTAACACCGGCTTTGTTCGTCAAACAATCTAATCCTAGAGTCTTAGAATAAGTTTGTCGTAGGCAAATATTTAAAAAAGTAGAATACTCTGTCTCGCTTGCTTTATCACAGTAGTTTCCAACTATATATTTGCTGTACCGTATGATGAAAATTACTGTCAACATATTTATGAAAATTACATGCCTATACAACGTCTAATCAAATTAAAAAGCATTCCTTCGAAATATCTTTAGGTACGAAATAGCAACTTGGAAGTAATTTTTGCGTAGGTTTCTATAGGTACCATTTATCAAAAAGAGTGCGGTATGATCGGTCTCACGGCTCACGTTTGCGTGACTAAGACTGACGCCATAAAGGTACACGCGAACGCCTTTCTTTAGAACTAATTAAATTGTACAGTTAAGGTTTAATTTTAACATAACCAAAAAAAAATGCATATAAAACTAAAAGTAGATACTAATGATTCTATGAAGCAATTTGTATGGGAAGTTTTAACAAATTTATGGACTATGTCTTAGAATACCTACAGTATCTTAGATAGGGACGAAGTCTTAATAGATCAAAACAATCATATTATTTATATATTTAGAGACTTTTCACAAAAACCGATAGATTCGTTATTTTTAAGGAACGGTGTATTGGAATAGTAAAGCTAAGAAACCTGGCAAGCAATAATGTCGCTTTATTCTGTAGAGAAAATTTCGAAGGGTGCGCCCTTTAATACCAATAAAGGCTACCTGCCTATCTCAGCCAGGAAACTAATTACAGGACAGTGTCCTTGGATACGATATCTTGTTAATATCCTTTACGCTAAAATTCAACTTGAGCTTGCTTGCCTATCATTTAATGTCAGGAGGAGTTAATACATACATATGTATATATCTGCTTATATACCTTCTATCAACTAGATAAAAGTATCGTTTCAGAAGCTAGAAGATTTGACATTTTATTTTATGCTAAAATCGAAAATAACGTTGCTTCAATAGTTTTGACACCGTATCTCTTAACCACTAATGAATGAAATGATTACATTATTATTGGCAAATATAAAGTTTAATGCGCTGATCATCAGTGTAAAAATTTTATTATTTACCTCATTTGCTTAATTAATTCAAGGTTGAATACAAATTTTAGAATAAACAAAAACAATATATTTAGTTTCCTAGTCTTTGACGTATAAATTTATTAAAACTACAGCTCTTGGAAATATCGAAGCACATTATGGTCAACCACATAAATGCAGCTAAAAACCAGAACAATATGAAATAACCTGAAATATTAAAAAAACAAAAATTAGAAAGAGTTAGTGTCTGTAATACTAGTATGCAAGGGAAGAAAAAGTAGGGAATGAGCGAATATAAAGATAAGAGACGAAAAATTAGAAGAAATGACCGATTTTAGGTATCTAGGAAGTCAAATAAGCCAGGACGGAAAGAGTAGTAGGGTTATAAAGCAAAGGAAAGCGCAGGATCGAGTCGCCTTCAGTAAAAAGAAGTCACTTCTATGCTCGGGAACGGTTAATTTGGAAATTCGAAAAAGGTTGTTAAAGGTGTATGTTTGGAATGCGGCGCTGCACGGGTGCGAAACATGGACAGTGGACGCGGTGGAAAAGATGAGGATACCGTGGATAGAGGTGGTTAGAAATGAAGAGGTATTGAAAAGAATAGGAGAACAGAGGACTCTATGGAAGTCAATAAAAAATAGACGAGATAGGTTAGTAGGACACCTTCTTAAGCATGAAGGTCTAGTCAGAGACATATTAGAGAGAGAAATAGAAGTTAGGAGGGGTAGAGGTAGACCTAGATTAGATTATTGTTCGCAAATAGTTAAGGAAATGGGATGTTCTAGTTTTAGGGAAATGATTAAGATTAGCTCAGGGTAGGAAGGAATGGAGATGCGTGTCTTAGGACTGACGACCTTATGATGATGAGTGTCTGTAATATCACCTACCTATTGTTCTGCAAATTTCCTTTGGCTCAATATCGGGATTAAATTGGGCAGTGGCCAGAAAGGTGCATGCAACCATGAGACAAAAACAATGCACCATNTAGAAAGATAATATAAGAACAAAGGCTTTCACGGCCGGAATCCATAGTAGAATGAAGATTCGGGCTATATATAGGGCCGTGGTCTATGTGAACTATTCTGTCCAGACGTTTCGTCGGCTACTGCGGCTGACATCTTCAGTGGATTATATCTCGAAGTCTCGACAGCGACTCAGTTGTTCACGTTGTCAACGCAGCACTACCACTGAAGATGTCAGCCGCAGTAGCCGACGAAACGTCCGGACAGAATAGTTCACTTAGACCAAGGCCCTATAGCCCGAATCTTTATTCTACAGTGTAAATATAGTTTCATTTGTAGCAAAAAATTACCTGCCTGAAAAGTGAAAAAGTTTTCTTGAAGATATGTTTCGGATATCGACATTTTTACATTTAAAATATTCAGATTTCGATTGACAACTGTTACGTATCATATTCTGCTTGTCGTATTGTCATTTTGGGTATTTCATAGTATTTTCTGATATAATTAGTTGCGTTTTACTGTGATTAAATATTTGATGCGTAATTATTGTTAGTAACAAAGCATAAAATCTTTTTTATATAACTACACGCACCAACCGTCACTGGTATACCTTCTAAATAAAATCGTGCAAGGTGTGCCAATATTAGAATACCATTTTCAGCATGGAAATTCCACTAACGATAATACTTTAGAAAGTTCCATGTATAAGTGGATAGTGGTAAAACGAACGTATCTCCTAACTGTAATTCATCACATAATTCCAGAGTTCAGCAGACTCGATTCCAAGACTTGCAGATAACGTTCCATACTCTACCTTGTAGGTACATTTAGCATATTTTTGCTGTACTGAATTACAGCAAGCTACATAGATACAAGCATACATATTCATGCGGGGATTCCCGAAGTTCGCTAATTGCTCGTTTCTTTTCATAAAAACACCAACGCTTTTATTGTTTTCTTTTCTGTTCAGTGTCACTGACTCAGCAAATTATTCCGGATGAAACATAAAAAACGGGAACTAACAGATAAACGTA